ACAATTGGGTCAACTCAAATTGAGCAAATCTGCCAAACCTCCTAATACTTAAACGTTTGTCAATTTTCTAAATTGCCTGGTATGACTCGCTGTCAGTACTGAAGCATAAGTACCTTTGAAGTGTACCTCCAAGGTTTTACGGTTGAGTTTGACAATCACAAACACTGATGTATATAGGGCAAAACTAACTTGAAGCGCCCCTCTAAATATCTATCCCCCCGCCCAACTGCTTAACTTATTTCGTGTTCAAACATTTAATTCTTTGCTAGTGAACGTAAATGAATATGTAGTTGTGGCGGAAGTGATCAAAAAAATATTAAATTAAATAAGGTTATTTTTGCTTTAATACGCTAAAATAGAATAAAATTCCCTCAACATGAACTCCTGTTGCGCAGGATACGAATGTCATTTGAGGGAAATTCGGCCACATGTAGTCGGACTTTAACGAAAATGGAAATTTGATCTCCTATTGGTGGAATTTAATGAAAAAGTTGAAAGTCGGGCTACTGAAAATTTAAAAGTAGTCTTTTTATTATAAGTCGACAGGATTTTTGGGACTGGATTTTGAGACTCTAAAGTCAGTCCTGCCGTTCATAGATAATGGAAGAAGATGGTGCATAATCGCACCGACAACAGATCATTCAATTCGGTTTATACACTTACCATGCTAATGGCAGTGAAAATTTGGGAAATCTGTATGAACTACTTGAAACGTGGTCCGCGTTTGGAATCTAAATATCAAGCCGTCTAGCTGATGGAGTGTTGGATGCAGGTGAAATAAGACAACGTCAGAGTTATGGACCACCACTGCCTATCCCCCAAATTCTTGCTACCTCAACCGTCCTTCGTAGAAACAGGAAGTAGTGACAAGTAACAATTTGCCGGATGGAGGAGGGTAAAAAATAACCTACGTAAATTTATAAATAGGATTTTTATGTTCACTTATAAACGCTTTCTTTACCTTCTCCTAGCTCTCTGTAGTAGTAAATTTGAAAATTTCCTTTATCGTAGTCATTTGAAGAGAGAGAGACAGAAGCAAGTACAGTCGTCATTCGTTTGTTTTTTCTCTCTCCTACTTCAAGCCTGTGAAAGGGTTCATTACGTGACGATTGAACCCCCGCTTGGCGAATCTGTCAGTGTCGGGGTCAGTATCCGTTGTGCGACACAGGAGCTGTGTGACCACCGCTTCATATACTACCTTTCTTTGAGTGACGTGACCGCGGACTACAATGAAGACCTACCGCCCGTTGTCACTAACTCTAGCCCTATAAGAATTACCCACGAAATGCTCGGAAACAAGATCATTACTTGCATAGCCAAAGGGATGCGCCATAAGGAAGTGCGAGTTTCTAAGCATGTGGCAGTTGAAGGCAAGCCCTTCGGAATCCAACTGGTTCGGAGAAACAACGCCGCTGGTACTTTGGTCAGTGATGTGGATATCGTCAATGCCAACGAAACCCTACTGTGCTCCAGCGGAGGTTTTCCAAAACCTGTAATCTCATGGCATCGTGTAAGCTCGCCAAAAGAGCATCCTGACTACGAGTTAACAATTCACAGAAGCAGCCTAGTCACCACAATTTTCGATCCGCCTGGCTACTACACCTACACCTGTCAGGCCACAAATGAGTTGGGAGAACTGTCCCTCAAACACACCTTCTACCTTCGTAACAAACAACACATAGCTTTCGATCAGCAGGCCATCGTCTTGTGCTGGGTCCTTGTGAACTTGGGGATTTTTGCTTGCCTGGTTTGGATGGGTCAACTAATTGTTAACAAGGAGCTGATACCGTTTCTAGAAGATTAATCTCAATTTTGATCCCATATAAATACCGACTGTTTTCGAAATTCTTCTCAAATTGTTTGTGTTATCAACCTTGTTAGTAATAGAACCTCAGAATGTTCTTCGTTTAAATAGACCCGCACAATATCGTTATTTAAAATGTGGGCTCCCATTTTAATCTTGGTCACGCCGATAATAGCGTTATTCTGGTGCGTCTATTTTCGACTCGAAGTTACTTTTCAGTGGTAGTGTTTCTGTGCAAGAAGTGGGCGTCACTTGTTAGTAAATACATAAGCAATTTCACAGTTTCCGAAATCGAACCGAATGAATTATACAAAAGATGCAGCATACGACATCAACTAGAACATCTGCAAAGGTCGGGCCCCATCGCATACAGCTTATGGCGTGGTCTCCGTCAAAAATGATCAACGCGCCTTGAGAAACGAACTTATAAGCAAAGTAAAAATATAGGGCAGGAAATTATAGAGGGGCGCTTGGAAGGCCAACATGTACAATAACCGCTTGATTACCGCTTTTAAGTAGGGTGAATTTTCCACAATCTTCAATTTTCGCGCGCCAGCGTTGATCTCGTTGGGGTCGGTGATAATATTTAAAAAGTGTACCTCAGTGACCTTGTCTAAGATCAGTGAACACCCTCCAACATACACGCGCTGGTCGTTGGTACAGTAGGGGTTAGTTATGATATTACAATGTACCTCAGTGACCTCGTCCAAGGTCAACGAACACACGTAACTTTCTTAATTTACATGATTATTGCGCCGTGATTTGTCCCCCAATTTGCACCACCCATTCTGCCTCCTATAACCAGGTGCCCTTATTGGAGTAGAGGGCGCTTCGCGCGCACTGTGGGGACCCCACGATAGTTCCTTACCAAAGATGGCACTTCGATCGGAATTGCGTACGAGA